TCTTGCTACTGCTAGGCTTCACGAATCGGTCAAGAACTGGAAAGTGTCCACTCAACACTCGTTCTCAGACCATATGATTCTAGAATTCACCTTAACCTTAGATGAATCGAACATCTGCAATCAAAAAACGTTCAGAAATGTTAAAAACACAAACTGGACGAATTATAATGCAGCTCTAAGTGAGCTGCTTTTAACCACTTCCTCCGATCCCCCTGGGAACACTTTTGATCTAGACAATCAAGTCCAAGATCTCACCTCAGTGCTCAACGAAGCTTTCAGTTATGCTTGTCCCCCCACACAACCTAGTAGGAAATGTAACCCACCTTGGTGGAATAAGCATCTAGGTTTTTTACGAAAAGAGTGTAGGAGACTCTTCAACAGAGCAAAGCTATATAATAATGAGAGTGATTGGCTGAATTACAAAACCTCTCTGCAGGAATATAAGAAAAATTTACGTAGGTCCAAGAGAGACACTTGGCAATCGTACTGTCAAGAAATAAATAGCAATTCTGAAACCTCTAGACTGCGTAAAATCTTATCCAAAAATCCATCTGTCCCAGAGTTACTCAAAAAATCTGACGGGACATGGTGCAATAATAGTAGCGAATCTTTACAATTACTACTAGATACTCACTTTCCGGGATCTTCTACTTCGGTAGCTGTATCCCCAGAGTGCCTTAATCTCTCACCGGTTAACTCTATTAAGGTTAACCTGCAGATCGTCAAATGGGCTATTTTTAGTTTTAAACCCTACAAATCACCAGGACCGGATGGTATTCATCCAATTGAGCTCCAGAATTCGTGGGAGTTAATACACAACCGGCTTTTGGCAATTTTTAGACATTGTTTCTTATTTAACTATGTCCCGATTAAATGGAGGGAGGTTAGAGTAGTTTTTATACCCAAAGCAGGTAAAACCTCGCACCATAACCCCAATGAACTCCGTCCTATAAGCCTCTCCTCTTTCATGTTGAAGGCTCTTGAAAGAATAATAGACGTAGAAGTAAGGCGTGCTGTAAGCCCCAACCAGTGGTCCCCCTCACAGCATGCCTACACTAAGGGAAAATCTACAGAGACAGCTCTCCACTCCCTCACTTACAGAATAGAAAAATCCATAAAACTCAAAGAATTTTGTATGGTTGCTTTTGTAGATATTGAAGGGGCCTTTAACAATATACTCCCGAGTGCAATAGTAAGCGCGATTTCGCGTCTGGGTGTTGATGATGCGCTCATTGGTTTTATAAATCAGCTGCTAACTGGCAGACTCATTGAAGCAACGATGGGCTCATCAACGGCATGCAGAAGGGTAAATAGAGGTACCCCCCAAGGAGGAGTACTCTCCCCTCTCCTTTGGAACATAGTGGTGAATGAACTGCTAATACAACTGAAGGCGGAGGGATGCGAAACTATTGCATACGCGGATGATATTGCGATAACGGTCACCGGAAAATATACTACCACTCTTAGGGATATTCTACAAAATGGTCTTAATATCCTAAACAATTGGACACAAAAATGTGGCCTTGGGGTGAATCCCAATAAAACTGAAATCGTGGTTTTCACAAGAAAACATACGGTCCTGAATCTTTCTCCACCCTCTCTACGAGGTTCTGTGATACATGTGAAGGAGGAAGCCAAATTTTTAGGTATAGTTTTCGACAGGAAACTCACTTGGAAGAAAAACACTCTAGAGCGTGCAAGAAAAGCCAATGTTGCGCTTCTTCTATGTCAGAAAGCTATTGGTAAGAAGTGGGGTCTTCAACCTCGCATCACCCAATGGCTATATATAGCTGTTATTAGGCCCATATTAATGTATGGTATTACGGTATGGTGGACAGCTCTTGATAAATCTTCGTACTGCTCAGTACTTAACAGGATTCAGCGTAGAGCTGAACTCTGTATTAGCGGGGCGCTATGCACCACACCATCCATTGCACTAGATTTGATGCTTCAGTTACTGCCAACGGATATTATTAGTAAACAAATGGCAGCTTCATCTGCTTTAAGACTAAAAGCTACCTCACAATGGAGAGACAGTGACTATGGTCATGCCTCCATTCTAAATCTTTTCAATTTTACTCCTAAAAACGTTGATTACATCACACCCACTCTCAACTTTGACAGGAAATTTGATGTTGTGTTTCCATCTAGAGAGGCATGGACGTCAGGTGGACCCTTCTTAGATGAGGGCGTAACCATTTTCACAGACGGTTCCAAAACAAGTAGTGGTGTAGGTAGTGGAGTTTTCTCAGAGGAATTGAACAAATCTTCCTTCTTTAGGCTTCCAGATCATTGTAGTGTCTTTCAGGCGGAAGTGGTCGCCATCAGGGAAGCTATAGCTTGTTTGAATGTAGATGATATATTTGGCAGGAATATATACATACTATCAGACAGTCAAGCTGCATTAAAGTCCTTGAGTTCGGTCCAATTTACATCTAGGACGGTTCTTGACTGCTACACATCTCTAAACGAAATGTCGACGCAGCTCAATATTTCTCTAATCTGGGTTCCCGGCCATAGGGATATTTTCGGAAATTGCAAAGCAGACGAGTTAGCCAGAAAGGGTGCTTCAGTGCCATACTCGGAGCACCTAGACTATCTGGGCATATCACTAACATCATGTAAACTGATATTGAGTTCTTTCTGCACAAATACTTTTAATAAAAGATGGGAAGACTCAACGATATGTAGACATCTGTATGCAATCTGGCCACTTTCCGATAAAAGGAAATCGAAAACTCTCATTGAGATGTCCCGCAAGGACATTGGTCTTCTGGTAGGGTTGATTACAGGGCACTGTAAGCTAGGGAACCATGCTAGAAGACTAGGTCTTCCTTTCACCCAAATCTGATGAGAGCGCATCTCATCTGTTGTGTTTTTGTCCAGCTCTTGCACGTCGGCGATTTAGTACTCTAGGGGCCCCCTTCCTTGAGGACCTGGACCAGTTACAGGATCGGGCTTTAAATAGCATTTTATGCTTCGCAAAAGGTTCTAGGTGGTTTTAAACCCAGAGATTTTTAGTATTTATATACGGCATCACAATGGGCCAAAAGGCCTAAGTGGATCCACTAGGGATCACCGGTATAACCTAACCTAACCTAAATATTACAAAATAATAAAATTTCATTACATTGTCAAAATTTGAATAATAAAATATAAATAACAGTTGAACATGTGCTATTTTAGTTTAAAAATCTTTAGAGATTTTCTAACGCAAATGATTAATATTAGACGTGCAAATTTTATAGAAAAGATATGTTTTTAAATTTTCAGAATTAAAACATATTCTATATTTCTCTTACTATTAGAAAGGACAGTGAACAAATAGACAGTGGTTCTTTTGTGTTGCCTATGAAAAAAGTTTCCTAAGTTATATAAAACAAATAAAGCTAACAATATACATTGGTACAAGGCTCCACCCGTGTTATTATTCTCTGAAAAATTGTTGAAACAAAAAAGGATTTAAACCACTGAAAGTGTTAAGAGTGTAAAGCAAGATTATGAAGAGGGATAGATAGAAATGCTGAATTGGATCTAAGCGAAAAAATCTTGTCACCCTAGTAGTGTGAAGCCATAAATCAATAGAGTTCAAATTGTTTATGTACATTTTGACATAAAATGAAGTTGGAATATAGATTGGAGACAAAAGTAATTATGTGTGAGAAGTAACTGTTTTGTACTTGGCTATATCATATCAAGCTCTCAGTTATGTTAGGACATATCTTGCAGCTCAAACAGACCTCAAACTGGTAAGTATTTTTGTTGTTGGTCCATGTGAGGTTTTAGGATTATAAACACCTTTGTGTCTATAAACCTTTGGTGTCTGTTCATGACTCTAAAAACAATTTAAATTCTTTGTTTCCAAGTAAGAATGTAGTCTGATATGTGAGTTTTATTACGAAATTTTGAGTTCTATAAAAAAAGTAAAGTAATTGTTCTTCTCAAGCTTGTTAGCTGTTTTGTTACAGTTGAATTTTTCGATGAGTAATACTTGTCAGTCGTACTCAAGTATAACTCTATTCGTATTAACCTCATGTATCAGATATTCGTTACATCGAACCAATTAAGATCTAAACTTTTAAAGTTTGAATTTTATAGTTGCCTGATAATCTGAATATGAATTTGTCTATAGCACAAAATTCAGATCGAACCAATTAGGATCTAAACTTTTAAGATTCGAATGTTATAGCTGCCTGATAATCTGAATATGTATTTGTCTATAGCATAAAATTCTGTGACTTACGTTAACCATCAAAAATGGTAGAAAACTTTCCCGTTGATTACTACTATTTGCCCTTGAGTCTTGGTCATTTAAGTTTTAGTTTCATTATTGAATTGAATACATTCATAAACCAAACTTTTACAATTGTATTGATATAGCTTTGTACTTATTAATATGATAAGGTAAATATTTAATCTATTTATGTATTTTTTATGTAACAATTAAATCATTAAAACTGTACACTTTTTGTTTGATATTTACGAAGTTAATTAAACTGTCATTTAGAGCTCAATTTTTTTATACATTTATATACACAAATGTTTATACCTATATATAAATAGTTGTTTGATCTCTTATGAAATATCAAGAGCATTCTGTTAAGCCATTGAATATATTCAGAGATAAACAAAATATTGATATTTTTCCACTAACGAATATTTATTTACATTTATATTTATATTACTTCTCTCTCTTTTTATTTGTTTAAATATTGATGCCTTTAAGGCAATTTATTATTTACATTACAGATATACATACATGTATAAGTTTGAATTTATTATTTTGCTGTTGAAAGTATTAAATAAATTAAATCAATTAGCACATAAACAAAATTCCATTGATATTTTACTCTCCAGAAGAATAAGTTACACAACGCTTTTCTCAATTTCAAAACAAAATATTTAAAAGTTGAAAAATATGAACGAAATCTTAATAATTAATTAAGAACTTATTGATTTTTTTATTTTTTATAATAAAATACGTATATTATAATACTTACCAATTTTGGATCATGCTTCCACTCGCCATCAACACAAAATTTATATTGATGGTCACCTTCCGGTAAATCAATAATAGTAACGAAATTTCCATGACTTCGAACCATTGGTATTGGTTTCCACTTGGAGAACGTGCCTGATATCATAACATTTTTTCCGCCACCATCCCAACGTAAAACTGTTGGCAAAGCTGGATTTTTTAGCGCTTGTTCATCGTTTAAATTTTCTTCTTTTTCATCATCTTTGGTTTCTTTTGCCTCTATAGCGGACATATTACTTATCGATGTTGTACCTTCTGAGACAGTATTAGAACGCTTGCGCGTTGTAGGTGCGTATTCGTTAAAAGTATCAGCCGCACTGTTACCTACTGGTTTTGTATAATACGGTTGATTTTCATCGTCTTCTTGCGAAGAACCAACTTGTAACACTGAACGTGGTGTATCGATTTTGTTGTCGAAAGCAAAAGCTTGACTGCCGGTACCACCCCCTGTAACTACACCTTGTGGTACACCGCTATTTGATGAGATGGAGTCTCTTGCGTTTAACTCACGAAAGGGTGAATTCGGTGTAGAGTCGATTGACTTGTGACGTTCTCTGTGCATACTTGCGTTTGCATTACCCATTATAATTTGTTTATTTTTTTATTAATTAACTATTTAGTTTGTTATTTCATGTATGGTTTGGACGCTTAGTTGGAAGTTTTTTTTTATATTTTTTTGGCACAGTCAATGTTGTTAAACGTTTTGTAATCACAAAGTATTATTTTTCTTTGTCCTTCATATATTTCGTATAATGTGAAAATAGTATATATGGATTTAATTCAATTCCTATTGTAGTTATTGTATTTTGATATGAATTATAAAACGTTATTTTTTTATAAAATTTGTGCAAACAAAATATAGAGTATCAAAATATATAATTATTTTTTTTCACGGAAATGTTTAGCACTACCAATCAGCAATATTTCCATCCTTTAGTGTGGCCATGATATTTCAAAATACACACAAATTGTGTAATACACAATATTAGATATCTCTTGAGAGAATAGTTTAATAATTTTTATATTGCGTGTAAATATTATTTAAAAATTTGTTAATTTTTTAAGTTCTAAAATAAAAACATTCAGATTAGGTATTTTATGATTAGAGGAAGAGCTCATTGAAACCTTGAAAATCATTCCACTTAGAACTAAGATGGAATAGTGCATGCAAATGTACTGAAGTGTTAAATAATGATATATTTTACAAATTTTTTAACACAGATTAAATTGAAACAGATATAAACCACACACGTGTTCAATATGAAAGACTTTTATTTACATTAAAAATATTTTAAGACTGACACTTTAAAATATTCAATACAAATTATTTTGAAACTTTAAAGCAAAGGTTTGAAACTATTTGCAACTATTGATATATATGTATATGCAAATGTTGAAAACACACAAATTTATTATTTTGTGTAATAACATAACTACTCCATAAAATTGTTTCTTTCAGAAGCTGGTAGTAACCCTATCTTGTTTGTTGTCATATTTGTTTTCATTTAATTTTCTTATCTCTCTCATTTATACTTAAATGAGTTACCATGTTTTTAAAAAAATCAACATAATATTTACAAATCCATATATAATTATATCAAATTCGTGTACATAATATAATAGCCTTAATTTCTTTTCAGAAAACATTTGAAACAAAAAACAATGCTCTTAAAATCTTCAGAGTTAGATTTTTTCTTGCAAAAATTTTTACGTCTTCAAAGAGTGAATGCTCTTTGGAAATATGTTGCAAAATTCTAGTCATTCGTTAAAATTATATGAGCAAAAATAATAACATATTGCAATATATCAAAACAGTAAGATAAAAAATGCTTACTTCTGTTTTATCATTTATTTTAATT